TTTGACTGACTGGTGGTAATAATATCTTCCATACATATCTCTGGTATTTGCGTTGAGTCACTCCTATTGCATGTGCTGGGTGTGGATTACTCGATGAACTAGGATTCAGTAATCACCACCTCTCTCTCCATCTACATAGATTACTTCTTAGAATCTTAACCCTCTCCCACCATATAGTGTGATTGTTTGTTAATGCATGCAGTCAGATTGCTAAGCTCCTTTTTCTAAATTACTTATCTTCGCGGGTGTAGGCAATCATTCTAACCTTAGCTAAATTCTTATATTCTGATAATCTACACTACTCCTGGTCTACTAATTTGACCTATGTAGTTGACCTCATTCACAGTCATCGGAAGGTATTTTGTAAATTACATTATTTGTCTAATTGGGTCAACAGGGTCCATTACCCACAGAGCTTGTCCTACCTGAGTGAGTGTGTTTGTAGGTTTAAATGCCACTCTAATTCCTGCTCTATTAAGCATCTTATATAGGGTCTCAGATATCCCCTCCTTATATGGTAAAACTACTGTAGATGACTTATTTCCTCTCTTATTTATGTTATCGTTTTTAGTTTCACCGTTATGTTTATCTTGCTTTTGATCTTTTCTGATCTTCCTAACGAGTTTTATAGGATAGTTTTGAATACAGTTCACCTAGGCCAAGGGAGAGACAAAGGTAGAACAAACTTCTTTTGTATGCAAAGACTAGGATTGTTCTCTCGAATTCCCATAGCTTCGGCTAGGTATAAAAGACGGTTTCTGATTCCATTCGAAAGACTCGATGGAATACAATAGGTAACTTTGAAAGCACTATTTTTGTCCACTTGGTGACCGCTATCAATCAAATGAGCCAAAATAGAACTTCGCATGGATTTTATTTGACCTTTTCCGAACCATGAAGGAAGATGCTCATTAATGCGTTTGTTGAGCTGTCTAGTTGTTCGCCCTATATAGCTTTCTCCACAGGAGCAACTAAATTTATAGATACTCATCGAAGTGGCACAACTAGGTAGCTTATGTTTCACTTGAGCAATCAAAATTGGTCGGCTGGAAAATGACAAACAAAGGGTGGCGGCAGTATAAGTCCGTTTTATCGCTCTCGATAATCTCAGATGTAAGACTTCACTAGCCGCGTCCCCATTAAACTGAAGTTTCATGAACAGTTCTTTATTTTTAACTGTTGTCAGTTTTTCTTTGTTGTACCTGGTATTCATGTGTCTCCTAACAAATCTACTAGGAAAACCCATTTGGACCAGCGTATTTTGAATGTATCCTAGCTCATTTTCTAGGGAGTCATCTGTACAAATACGTCTTGCTCTATTCGTAAGGCATCTGACCAAATTGATTTTATATCGGATTGGTACAAAACTGAGGAAATGTGTATATTGTCCTACAGATGTAGGTTTCCTATAGACATCTCTCTCTTGAGTGAACCATCCTCTCTTCTGCTCAATTGGACGTCAAGAAAATGTAATCCACCATCATGTTCTTCTTCATAAGTGAAGATGAGCGATGGATGTGCATCATTAAACTTTTTTAACATTTCATTCTTGTAAGTTTTCACATCAAGAATAATGAACGTATCATCAACATAACGAAAATAAGAATCAGTTTTCTCTATTACTTGTCTCAATGTAATTTTTTGTCTGGTCTTAGTTTCTGTGATCTGAGTTGAACTCACCACATTGTTACTCAACTTATTAGTTTAACTTATCAACTCGTGGCTTTATATATTAGACAACTTTTTTTCCAATGATATTTGAACATTGATTTTCTTAGTGTAAAAATGCGAACCTTCTGTGTATTGATTTAATTGCTGAGCTCTGTGTTGTTTGTTTTTTAAAAATTCTGGAGTCTTTTGTAACCTTTGTAAGTATGTTAAAATTTCTATATACATAAAACTTATTAAATATTTTTAAGGTTGAGAAGCCAATAAAATACGTGATGGTACCATGTCATTCTATACAAACTATTGTTTTTGCTTTATTTAAAATCACAAAGGGGGGGGGGGGTAAAAGAGTGTGAAATCTCTTTTGATACTTAATATAAATTTAGATAAAGCAATTAGGAAGACGTAATTTGTCTGAATCATGTAATGTATTTGCTCAACACATTTCGAACAATCTGATCATACACGGACTTGTCATAGGAATATATGTGAAAATAATAAAGAGGTGAGAAAATAGACTACTTAGGTCAAGTTAAAAGGACATATTCAAGGTCAAAATAACAAAGAAGATCACTTAACCAAATAGCAGAGGTAATAGTACATCTACCGTGACTGCTATCAAAACAAAATTTACCAAGGAAGGTTTAGTGTGATGACGAATTGTTTTTGATGAACGCATAAAGGTGGTTTAAACTTCCTAATTGTCAGTTGGGGCTTCCACAAACTTTAGTATACAGCCCAAACACGTTTAATAGATAGGTTTAAAAGATCTGTTAACGTCAATTTTATGTCCTGTCTCTATAATATGTTTCACGATAGAGGAACTAGGTTGTCTCTTCTCACCATTAATGTACTAAAAATGTTAGGTTTACATTTGAAGGCGACTGCTTCCGCCAAGTTGTTTGTGTTGCAATGGGAAGTCCATTAGGGCCCCTTTTAGCAGATATCTATATGTCGTACATTGAGAATTTATCAGAGGATTTAGTCGAGAATGCGCCACTTTATAGAAGGTATGTAAATGATATTGTAATCATCAATGATAAGTTTTGTTCTGCCACCTCAATTTTAAATCGAATGAATGAAGTTCAGAATAGCACATCACTTACATCTGTAGAAGAGGAAGATAACTGTTTATCTTTCCTAGACATATTGCTTAGTCGACGGCTTGATGGGTTAATAAAAAGATCTACTTGTAGAAAATCTACTTGGACAAGGGAGTATGTTAATTATCACAGTTTCTGCCCTGTTCGCTACAAAAGCGCCTTAATAAGGTGCCTCTTCAGTATAATCCAACGAATATGCACTGAAGACACACTTGATGAAGAAGAAAGAAAGTTGACACAAACTCTGATTGATAACAATTATTCAGATAAGTTCGTCAGGAGATATATAGTAGTCAGAACACCAAGACCCACTATCCAACTCGCCACATTAAACCTTCCTTGGTAAATTTTGTTTTGATACTAGCCAGGGTAGATGTACTATTACCTCTGCTGTTTGGTTTAGTGGTCTTCATTGTTATTTTGACCTTGAATATGTTCTTTCAACTTGACCTAAGAAGTCTATTTTCTCACCTCTTACCTCTTTATTAATTTCATATATATTCCTATGAAAAGTTCGTATGTGATCAGATTGTTCGAAGTGTGTTGCGCAAATACACTTTACACGATTCAAACAAATTACATCTTCTTATTGCTTCATCTGAATTCATAAAAGGAACTAATTGTTTTAAACTTAATATAAATCCTGACAGCAGTTCACTCCCAAGAAGGTTGGAAACTAGGACCTTCTGGTTGCAAGGCAAGCTCGTAGACTATTCATCTATCTACTGCACAACCGAACTAATCGCTCATGAAATTCCAATTCTGTGCTAATTCGTGATATATGTATATATAGAGAGAGCATAGGCGAGTAACTCTTTTCTTACTTGACTCGATCAACGGGGAAACGTCAGAACTTTCCACAAGATACCCAGTGAACCTCCTGTATACACCTAGTTGCTAGTGAACATCAGATTATTTTTCAAGTTTTGCTTTGTAGGGATTTCATTGGTTAAAGGTTCTTTGATCACGAGATGATATCAATGTGCGTAGGTGGCACAGCGGTTAGAACTCTCGCCGACCATGCACATGGTCTGGAGTTCGATCCCCTGCTAACGCACACACCTTATATCAATTGGTCGGCCTGCAAAATTTGGGCTACCGATATTACATGCTGAAAATTCTATATTTGTACCAAAATAAAAAATAGAGTGTGGCGGTGTGATACAGACAGTGTGTACCAAAGGAATATCATTGTCACATATTCCCACAGTTAGATGCTGCGTTAACAACAGAATATGAAATATCTATTTGAACATTCTATTTCATGTCGTTTAATGTGTACACCGAAATCACACGCTCAATGACTAGTCAGGGAATATAAAACTGTATCTGCATAAATAACAGTTTGATCACTTGAAAATACACCTTAGCTTCCCTGTCTTGCCTTCTGCTGTTACAACAGAACCATTGGATAACCAGGGAGTATTCAACAGTTGTTCCGCCCTACTTTCGCAGTCTCCAATAGCATGTGCTTACCAGGGTTCGCACCTAACAGCTGTCGGTTACAAGGCGAGCTTGTAGACGATTTTCCCATCAGTCACTTGAATCGCCTAGTAGTGGCCTTCACGCATCCACCAGTGATTGATGATTGCAGACAAGCCGTCAACTGTCTGCTCATGTAACCAATCAATTGCATTCAATGTCTATCTGTCTGCTCGACCGATAGCTGCTACCTTGACGTGGTGGTCGGGCTTTGCATATCGCAATGACCCAACAAGCTACACTGGCTGGAACTTATGTTCCTGTAGGTCCTACCATGCCAGAAAGGTTGTTTGGATAGCGGTTAGACAAAAAGCAGCTACCCAATCAATCCAATACTATGATTCAAACAAATTCACAAAATATCATGCCGGATCGGTCGGGGCCCGCATTAACAATGACCGCGCTTCCTGCTGCTATGTCACAGGGCAGAAGTGATAAATATGCTACTGAGACACACCAAACAAAGAAGAACAAACCGCGTGTGACCGGCCTCAAGCAGTTGTCCCCTGGGCTCTGTGGTCATGCAACACTCTTTCTGTTTCAGGTTCCCGAAGAATCAATCAACTTCCACGGTGTGGGCAGCCGGGAAGTTACAACCGCCCACACACTTCCAGATGCACACGAAGCCTTCCTGAGCATCACTCTCCCTTACTCACATCATCTTCCTCATCTTGCTTCTCTACTACAGTTAGCACTATTCTGCAGGCTAGTGAGTCATCTTCACTTCACTCTGCGACCACAATTCCATTCAACAGGATAATTTATATTTATGAATACACACAAAATATAACAATAACAATAATAATAATCATAATAATCATAATAAACCAAATAGGTAGTAGGCATATTTCTCTTGATAGACAAGAATGGCATAAACTGTTGCATACACATAGATAACACATTGAGTTGATGACAAGGATACGGAGAATGATGATTATATATGGCGCAGCAAAGCAAGACGAACAGGAAGCAGAAGGAGAACAAGGAAGAGGAGAAGAAGAAGACGGTAGCAATGAAAATGCAGAAGAATGTGAAGATGAAGCACAGAGGAATGACGAAAGACAGAGTGGAAGAAAGATAACTAGACAATGTAGCAGAAACTCGTTGTGGTTGTTGCTGCTGTTGTTGATGTTTCGCTTCCTTTTCGGTTTGCTTCATTCATTCTCAGGTGATTAGTTGTTGTGTTTTGTTTTGTTATTGTACAGTAATGATTCCTCTTCTAAATAAATTTTGATGTATACACTCGTATACAAATAGAATGAGAAGTTGAACGAATAACACAATTTGAAGGGTTATTTATCTCAATAATTTAGTTAATCAGATTTCAATGAGTGGATCTTATGATTGTATTTGCTTTCAAGCGTGTTTTCACTCATTGAATGGACTGGCTTCTTGTATGTCTAGAAGAAATATGATAAAAAATATATAATTAATGATTATTATTAAAATTTTACATTGTACTTCTTTACGTTCTTCCAGTGGAACATAAGGGGCTTCAAGTTGAAGCTTTAAGTTTCGGTAGCAGTGGTTTTATGTTCACGGGGTGGGGTTGCTAGCCTCATGCCAAACCTCCTCTCTTTACTGGCTTAGCGAGGTAAAGGAATGCGTCGGCTGGGGATCGTGCCCCGGACCATATGCGTGCTTGGTTGGCGAGCGTTCCACCTCTAAACCATCGACACCTTCTAACTCGCTGACTGACTTTAAATATAGAACTTAGACACAGAAGTACAGCAGTCCAGAGTGCTACATTCCACGTAGCACACAAAGGTAGGTGAAAAAAAAGAACTACAAGAGGTAGAAACATTCAGAGAAAAGAATAGTAATAGGTGGGTTTCACGGATTTATACATCTCATCCAACAGATGTAAGACAACGCTGCATGCCAAGTAATCCACAATGGGAAACTTAAGGAATCCTTCGAAGTGAAGACGGGAGTAAGACGAGGCTGGCTACCTACTATCTCCAATGATTTTCCTGATTGCAGTAGATTGGATAATGCGACAGACTGTTAGCGGGAAGCGAGGAAACAGGCATAAAATGGACTCACACAAAAAACCTGGAGGATCTGGACTTCGTCGATGATATATGTGTGATTTGCCACAAACTGGAAGATATGCAAGTGAAAAGCAACAAGTTGTCAGAAGAAGCATCAAAGATAGGACTCCAAGTAAACATAGAGAAAACAGAAGTGATAACTTGGCACGTCATAAAGAGCACCTCAAACAAACTACAGACCTTCATTAACAGCTCTCTTTGCTCAATACTCAAGATCAGATGGCCGGCCAGAAAAGATCAGCAACAGGGATCTTTGGAGGCGAACCAAACAGGAACCGGTTATACAACAAATAAGCAGGAAGAAATGGAGGTGGATTGGCCATACTTTGAGGAAACCATCAAGTGACATCACTAGACAGGCCATCTCTCGAGTGGAACCCGGAAGGGAAACGGCGAGTTGGTCGTCCACGGGTGATTTGGAAGAGGTCATGTGAAGAGGGGATGAAAGCATGTGGGCAGACCTGGAGCCAAGTGAAAACATTAGCAGAGAACCGAACGCGCACTAGAGACGTGCAGCTTAAGCCCTATTTTCCTCTAGGAATTAAAGGAAATAATAATAATATAATAATGGATTTAGGAAAGTGAATGCATCTACTCCTTGTGACAACGATTTTGAGCCATATAACCAATAGTCGCAACCTACAGGTTCTTAGCACTCTGAGGACCCTAGTCACGTCGTCTGCACTTCCCTACATAGCTGGATAAAAAATAACAACCGAAGACTTCAAAGACTGATGCCAGGTTTTGACTTGACTACCCCTAACTCTTTACCAACCAAACTGTATACTAGCTAACATTGCTGAATGAGGAAACAGGTTGTAGTGAGAGATGGTTGCTAGCCAAATTGGTTGACAGTAATTGAGGTCAATGTTAGTCATGTGAAAACAAGGTCAAGATGGACAGGCGGATACAGTTGACATATAGATGAACTGACACAGCCACAAGAGATGCAAGGTTAACTTTGTGTGAGAAACAACCAATCAACAGACTGTATTTTCTACTAACATTAACCTACAATAATGTACATCAAAATCTATAAATAAGTGTTGATTTTCCGTAATAAACGTTCTGTTGTCTGGCCCTTGTCTTCTGTTGTTACAAGGTGACTGGACATGCGTGATCACGTGTGTACAAGCCATCTCAACAAACTCGCCTCATCAGCAGACCTACTCTTCTTACCTAACACTACGCCTAACATCAATATTACTGACTATATCATACCACTTACCACGGGAAACAACGTAAATGTCTGTAGTCAAAGGTAGCTCGCCTTTTCATATCTCCCATCTTCAGTGACCATAGCTTACAGCTATAAAGAAAGGCAGAGCGAACTGGTACACAGCATGCATATCCTCTGATCTATAGATGGATATCCTATCTACTTCAGAGATGAAGTAAGTTGGTGAATTCCACATGAGCCTTTTGTATTCGTACTGAGATTTCATCACCAAACAGTCCATTAGGACTGATACGACTTTCTAGAGAAGTCAAGTGATCAAGATGCCTTACCACTTCACTACCTATCTTTAAACTTAGAAGTGGAGTAAACCAGTCTTTCAGGACAATCTTATCTTGGAAAGGAGTGAATCGCATGGCAAAAATCCAAAATATCATCTCAGGATGTTCAAATGACTCTGTACTTTATCAGCGTCTTCAATATAATCTGCATACTCCAAGTTTACAAGTCAATCCCTGTATCCACAATGATTTTTTTACAGGATTTCATCATGAGCTGACATCAGTTAGGGAACCATTGGAAAACCTGGGAGTACTGGACAGCTGTTTCGTCCTAGTTTGGGACTCTTCATCAGCACGCACCCACCTGGATGATGATGTCAGCTCATGATGAAATCCTGTAACCAATCAAATCCCTACAAACCAACACTTGAAAATGATTTTTTTTATTCCATTTACGTTCCCAGCGGAACATAGGGCTTCAATATAGAGGCCTGAAGTTTCTGTAGCAGTGGGGCTTATTTCTTTTTACGGGATGGGGTTGCCAGCCAACCTCATGCCCAATCTTCCCTCTTTATCAGTCTTATTTACTGGCTTAGTGAGGTAAAGGAGTGCGTCGGTGGCCGGAGATCGAACCCCGGACCAAGTGTGTGGTGGTCGGTAATCATTCTACCACTGTGCCGCCAACGCACCAAATGGAGGCAGTAGGCATCTCTGATGGACATCACTGATTATCTTCATTTCAGCTGGCCACTCTGAAGGTTCTTCGCTTATTGATACTACTCGGTAATCTGTTTCTTATCGTCTTAAGAATGAATAACTCGGAGAAGTGGCTCTTTTCGGTGATTTCATTCACTTAACAACTGTACAAACGTCATTATATGCATAGTTATTTTACTTGTGTATATGGATTTGTGTGTACACTCAGATTATAAAGGATAGCAGACGAAAAAAAACCGGAACCAATTCGTTTACTCTTTCCATAAATGCCTAATTTTCTAAACAGTTTAAACTCTCTAGTAATTTACACTCGTAGTTGTATTCTGATGAATCTTCATTATGTCCGAAATATGTTGATATTGGAAGCAATATTCCAAACATAGTTTCTTTTTATTGCTTGCTATCTCTGGTCAAACCGAAGTATGGAAGGTATCAATCTATGAAGTCACTGACTGTTGGTCTGAGTTAGCCGGGCAGAGAGGTGTAGTAGACTGACTGCCTAGTTAAGATCCTCAGAATGCTAAGAACCAATCGTTTGAGACTGCTGATGATATGGCTGGAAACTGTTCTCACTGGTGCAGTTGCATTCATTCTCTATAATTTCCCATTAAATCCTCTTTGTTACTATTTCTCTTCCTCTGTACATCTCTGCTCAGTAAATTTTATTTGAAGGTCTTTTCTTCTCTCTGTCTCGCCCTCTTCTCTACTGCTGTACTTCTCTGCAAAGTGCTGCATTGAAACTCACGCAGTCAGTCAGTCAGTTATTCTTGACAAATTGAATGCATATAAACACATACTGACAAAAATAATTGCCCATTAAAATGTTTTCAAAAGAATGGTTACTGAACAAAGAATATTCTTTTCGATAACCTGCTCTTCATCGTCAGGTTCTACAGTTATGTATACATACATCATAGTGAATGAATGAATTAGTGTTATGAACAACATGTTGTTGAAATAACATCGAATCAATTATAATAGTACCAGTGGACTGCAGTTCAATAGCATTAACGTAACACTACACTGAATGAATATCAGAAAAATTAGGAATGATAATAATACAAATTCATGAATTTATAGCCTCTACTGAAGGCTGACCAGGGCAGTAGTAGTGGCTGAACTTGCTCCCTTTGCACACAAAGCACCAGTTGTTTCACTTTAATTGCGATAGCTTCATCTGTTTGGAGCATGCTGTACCTGGATGTTTTTGGCAATTTATTTGGTACCCGATAGCTGATGATGGAGAAGGATTCTTCATTGCTGGCTATTTGGCCGGTTTAGACCAGATAGTCTAATATCGAACCTTTACTTAGCCACACTGGTAGATGTTCCCGAGTGAACACGAAAAATTAAGTTCCCAGAGCAGCGGTCAGTTTAACTAGCTCCCCAAGGGCAGTTAAATTGTTAGATACAATCGGAAATGGCTAGTCTAGGTACACCATCTTTCAACTGAAGAAGCAACATGGGTCGTGTAGAAAATAAGACTTGTAGTTTGCCAGCATTAAAAGTCCTTTGAACTGATTTTCTTAATTTCTTCGTAATTATTTCGCTAGGTATTTCGCCTCTGAATTGAAGTCGTATGTATCAGGGCTTCTTGTTTACGGATATTTCGTGCTCGAGAACATCTCCCAGTATGGTTAAGTAAAGGTGTAGTGAAAACTATTAACTGACGTTTCGTTATTTATACGCCGCTGCTAATAGCCTGTATCAAAGTCTTATTAATCCAGAATTTACAAAATCCACTCAGCTTATATAAGTCAAATTTAATCATAGTTCATCGGCATGGGGTCATTTTTGCGTTGTCAAGTTTTCCATTTTGTAACGATAACAGAGAGTTAAGAGGTGAGAAAATAGACTTAGGTCAAGTTAAAAGGACATATTGAAGGTCAAAATAACAGTGGAAATCACTAAACCAAATAACAGAGGTAAAAGTACGTCTACCCTGGGATCAAAACAGAGTTAACAAAACCAGGTGTAGAGTGTTGGATTTAATAAGTGTATAAAATTATAAAAGCAGCATGTGGTTACATAATGAAATTGCTTATCACATTGGTGTTGATTTCGTCATTCCATGGGGGAGGAAGGTGTTGTAACCAGGTCAAATTCTGTTTTAGTCCATCACTCCTATTCAGACAATTTGGATTCCATTTGATATGAAGTGTTTCTGATGA